TCCCTTTTTCTCTGGCTCCTTTCTCTCCTCCCTCAATCATTCTTTCTCTCTTCCTTTCTCTAACTCCTTTTCTCTCCCTCTACCCCTCTCACTACTTATTTCTCTCCCGTTTTCTCTTTCTCTCTCTCCCTTCTTGTCTCTTATTCTATCTCGTTCGCTCTTTCCCTTTTGTCTCTGTCTCCCTACTTTCTCTCTCTGTCTTTCTTTCAATCCACCACTCTCTCATCTCTCTTTCTCTCTCTCCTTCTTTCTCTGCCTCCCTCGTTCTCTCTCTTCCTTTCTCCTCCTCTTTCTTTCTTCCTTTCACTCCCTCTTTCTCTAACTTTGTCTCTTTTTTTATCTCTTTCTCTCTCCCTTTTTCTTCGCCCCCTTTCTTTCTCTCTTTCTCTCAGTCCACACCTCTTTCCTCTCTCTCCCTTTTTCTCTCTCTCTCTCCAGCTCTCTCACCTTTGTTCTCCATCTCCCTTTTTTCGATATCTCTTCTTTTTTCTATCCTTCTTTCTCTCTTTCTCTCATTGTCTCTCTCCTTTGTTCTCTATCTCCCCTGTTCTCTGTCTCTTCTTTTTTCCATCCTTCTTTCACTCTGTCTCTCATTGTCTCTCTCTCCTTCTTACTTTCTTGCTATCATTTTTTAATTTACTCTCTTTCTACCTTTCACTTTCTCTGTTTCTCTTCCTTTTCTCTCACCTTCCCTCTTTCTCTCTGTCTCATTCTCCCTCTCTGTTTCTCTCCATTCTCTCAGTCTCATTCTCTTTCTTGATCTCTCTCTTTCAGCCCTTCAATCTCTCCCTCTCCCCCTTTTTGTCTCTTTCCCTTTATCTCTCTCCCTCTCTCTCTCCCTCTCTCTCTCTCTCTCTCCCTCTCTCTGTCTTTCTCCCTCCCTCTTCTCAATCTCTCTCTTTCGGCCCTTCAATCTCTCCCTCTCCCCCATTTTCTCTTTTTCCCTCTTTCTCAACCCCCCCTCTCTCTCCCTCTCTCATTAACCATATAATTAGAGTTTAATAGGCGTTCACGTTGAAAGGCTGGAGGAATCTCTGCCGCAGTGGTGAGATGCATCACTACAGATTGCAGTGCTCCTGACCACTGAATGAAATGATGAGGCTTATAAGAAGCATCACCAAAATAAACGTTTCTCCTTAAATGGGGCAATTATTCATCATTTAGGTCAAGCAGAAAAAAAACAGCCTGTGAAATTATAACGTAGTGATGAATAGCAGGAGATGCGCAGCGTTAGGAAAAAGACGGGTCTGCAGTAATGAGGTTTAGATCTTATCTGTGTCGCACAAGCAGAAACACTGACATTTTAACACTGTGTGATTTATCTGAGGCTTTCCGGGATTTAGTGTGTATAAGAAATAGCTTTCCTCTACACTTCCTCCTCCACCGAGTCAGACGAGCCTTTAACTACACAACACTCCTTAAACACATCCGCGCTCATGCACTTGTGCTTGTTTACAGTCATATGCAAAAGTTTGAACACCCCTGGCCAAATTACATGTTTTGTTGATTTTCTGAGCGACACTTTCTCTACAGTGAACGCACTTAAATACAGCATTTTTCTGCACATTTTAGTGCACAATTTCTATTTATTTGCTGAGTTTAACATATTGGAAAAATAACTTTTGCACACGATACATTTAATGTTTTTTTTCAATATGTTCAATTCAGCAAAGAAACAGTAATTGTGCAGAAGTGTGTTCTTTTTAGAGGAGGTGTAAACTTATTTATCAACACAACATGTAAATTGATATAAATTCATCTTTTAATTTATCTTGTCTGCTACAGACCCCATTGGTCAGCGTCATCTATGTTATTAAATGGTACAAAAGCTTAATCAGGTTTATTATTTAGTTATCAACCCTTGTGTGGTGTTGATGTGTTTGTTACTCAGTGGTCTGGTGGAACCACCACATTATAGCATAGGGTTCTCCTTTAGCAGCTGTAGCCAGTCAGCAGCCTGTCCATGCAGTCCACCCTCACACACACACACACACATATACAAACACATACACACACAGACACACACACACACACAGACTAACAGCAGGCCATGTAGGAGGAGAACAGAGTGAAGGACACAGCACCTCCACACTTTTACTGACCCCACATCTTGCCGCCAATACATTCAGATACTTTGGCTTTGTTCTCTTTAACTCATTATAATCTGTCTACAGAGTAGATGGTCCACATATTTGCCCATGTTGGGCAGTAAAATGTTTCAGCATTCTGTGAGCTACTGGCTTTCTATCACTAGATAAAGACTAGTGACTATTAGAGCTAGGCCTTCAGCTAGGCCACAAATATCAGCACTCTCCCACCTCTACGTGATTTGACACAGTAACCTCCACCTCAAGCCAAACCTCACTTTACAGCCTCCTTCCTACTCCCAGCAACAAGAGCAGGACCACACAGTGGACTGGCTAGCATGGCTTTTAAAGTAAACTACCTGCCAAAACCCCAAAACCTGCCTTTTACACCAAACCTACCATGAATACATAATGAGAAGTTTTACAAATACTGAGAAAGTGCCAAGAAATCTACACTCCTTTGCAGCATTGAAGTCATCAGAATTTTTTCCCTTGGTTAGGGCACAAAAACAATCCTAAGGGCAAACGCAACACCAGTGCATGAAGAGTGATGGAAGCCTTACACACTCCCCAGACTCTCATATTCCCACACACTCGCACACACTGCTACTGAGTTACAGGCCCAGCCCGGCCATAGAAACAGAAGTTGGTGGAGTTCCACTATAATGTCTCATTACTGCTGTGTTGGACTCGCTTCTCACCTAATTAGAGGCAGCCATATTCCAGTAAGAGATTTCTGAGAGTTTTCCAGTGGGCATGTAGTTGGATTTTGCTGGTAGTGCCCTGTACTACAGATGCTGAGCTTGAAAGCAATACATACCTATATGGAAAAATAGGGACGATAGGAGACAGCAGGGAGAGGTTATGCTAACAAGTGTAGCTGAGTTGCCTGTGCTGTCTGTTGATCGTAATAAAACACAGAATATAAAAGTGTGTTTGAAATGATGAGTGGGAAAAATTGTTCTATCCTGAAGAATAACACAGTATGGATTACAGTCTCCACTCAAGGGGACCACAGGGATGTCCAGTGTTCCCTGTAAAGGGCCGGTGTTGTTGCAGATTTTTAATTTCACCAAATACATGATTGACTCATCAGCTGTTTGAAGATTGAGACCAACTGATTAAACAAGTAGAATCAGCTGTGGTTCTGCTTGGTTGGAATAAAAACCTGCTGCCACACCGGCCCTGTGTGGATAAGATTAGAGACCTTGTAATGGGACAAATGATCTTAATCTTGAGGACCTCCTGCACTGAAAAATGTATTTTTTAAATGGGTAACTATTTGGAGGCTTGTTATGATTATATTAATTGGTGTTTCTGTTAAATGTGTTACCACAGTGCAAAGTTTACATTTCTCCATTGAAAACTCTTTCTTAACACTCCTATAGAAAAGCATAATTTATGAGGTAGCAGCTAAATAAGTAGCAGCTTATTTTTGTACATCAATAGGCTTGAACCTATCATGATCCAATCTACTAGCTGCTAGAAACAAACTGTCTAATTTAGTGCTTAAACTTAATAGTTTCTCAGTTGCATCAGGTACATCTGTAAAAACCTTGGTGTCATGATGGATCCCGATCTGGCCTTTAATTCACATATAACCAACATTACTAGAATAGACTTCCTGCATCTCTGCAATATTGCTAATTTAAGAAAGGCACTGTCTCTACAGGATGTAGAAAAGCTAGTTCATGCATTTATTATCTCAAAGCTTGTTTACTGTAATGCCCTGCTGTCTGGATGTTCCAGCAAAAGCCTCAACAAGCTTCAGTTAGTCCAGAACGCTGAACCAGAAAGTTTGATATCAGCCCAGTTTTATCAAACCTACACTGGTTGGCAGTTAAATTCCACATTGAGTACAAAAATGTTTTACTGGCATATAAAGCTCTAAATGAACCCTCAGTACCTGAGTGAACCATCATGCCTACTTAGATCATAATCTGCTGGCTCACTATTAGTACCTAGAATTAATAAAGTTACATCAGGGGGGAGAGCCTCCTCATAGAAAGCCCCCCAGCTTTTGAATAACCTTCCAGTCAGTGTTCAGACACAGCCTCTGTTTTCAAGTCTAGGCTAGAAAAAAAACCACTTGTTTAGTCAAACCTTTGGTAATTCGTTTTTCCTGTTAGATGAAAGGTGCAGTATTGGTGCTGTCGTCCCACTGCTCTCATGTGTTCACTCAAATCTGTTAAGGGTGGAGCGGAGGGGCGCTGACATCTCAGGGAGCCTCATGTCTCTGTTACCTTTCTGGCTCTTCCTTTAGTGAGGCTCTATTAGCTTGACCTGCCGGAGTCTCTGCTGCACTCCGTTAACACTTTATACTGTAATCAGTCTGTATTAACAGAACTAACTGTTTGTCTCTTTGCTGAGTTGAATAACTGCCCATCCTGTGCGTCTGATGCTGTTGCTTCATCTGCCCTGATCGGGTGCCCACTGCTCGCCAGCCTTCTGGATCAGTGTGACCACCATGGAGCTTCCCGCTGTACAATGCTGAACAAACTTCACCTGCATGAACTGACCCTCCTGATGATACTGCTGCATTTTTTAATCATGCTTCTCCTGCTTTTCTCCTTTTCCCTGTCTTATACTGATACTGACGGTCAAACCTTATTGTTTGCTATCTGGTGTTGACCAGGGGAGGATGGGTTCCCCTTTTGAGTCCTGGTTCCTCTCCTGCTCTTAGAGAGTTTTTCCTTGCCATAATCAAACCATCATTTGTTTTGATTCAATTCATTTGTTATGATTTGGATTTTTTAAAAATACACTTAATATGCAAATGTGCCTGGAGGGATTACACACCATGCAATGTAGCTGAATCACCACCTTCAGATCAGTGCATAGTGATGCATGTTTACAGCCCTAATATGTACCGTTATATTCTACAATACAGGACTATAGTGTAGTGTAACTGACCCTCAGTGTTTGCCTGGTCCTGCTGCTCCCTGCGCTGGCTCTTCATGCTGATTTCGGCCCTCAGAGTGGTCAATTCCAGTTCGTACTCCTGCGTGGTGGAGTGGAGTCTCTGCAGCTCGGCCCGCAGCCTGCACAGTTCCTCCTGCAGCAGTGCGATGTCATTCTCCCGCTCCGCCGCAGCCTCCTCTGCCGCCTGCTGTAGGTCCTGCACCTCTACCTGTGCCGCACGTAGCTCCTCCTGAGCCTCCCACAGCTCGCTGGCCTTTTCCTCCTCCAGGCTGTCCAGCTCCTCCTGCACTGAGCGCAGCTGGGCTGCAGGGAGAGAGAGGAGAATGAGAATGAAAAACACTAAGGATAGGAGACGAAAAAGTGGAGGAATGATGAAATGGTGGCACTGCGGTATAGCAGGGTCCTGAGTCAGTGTACTGGATTGGTATCAGTTTAAGGCAAAGGAATGAAAGATACTAGTTTGAGAGAGGACAAGCACTCAGTAATAATCCAACACTTAGACACAGAGTTCTAATTATAATTCTAGTTTTACCATTTTTTAATACAAGTGAAGAAATAACAAATAAGAATAATATTTAAGAATAAATAATAAATAAGAAGTTATAAAATAACATAAGAAATTATGCAATGAGCAAAAAATTATTTTTTAATTTAAAATATAATTTCATACATCTGCATCAACTTGGGACCTCAGATAACCTTGTTTTTAAGGGAAATTCCACTAATTCTTTAAAATTTCTACATAATTTATTCATAAACAAAGTCATTTACCTTATCATGGTGATGATAAGAACCAGTTTTTAGTGTTTAATTCCTCTAAAAGCTCCCTCAAAGAAAGATCTTACATTAAATGTTATGAATCTGCTGCTTGGTGCCTGAAATGTTGTTTTACAATAGTTTTGAAATACGTTTTTGGCCTTTTGAAAATATATACTATATTCATGGCAGAAAGGCAAACAAAGGCTAAACATTATTCAAAAAAGTATCTGTTCAGATTAACCACTATTATCAACATCACACATAAAACTCAGAAGACGTGGAGAGTTACTAGTCATTTTAGATAGTAAGTAAAATGGCTATTCTTGCAGAAATCACGACTCTTAGTTCCTGTCACGCCCACCATAACGAAAATGAGTTTCCTAAATCTTCTTAAGTTTCTCCATGATGCAACCATTTCAAATCAAACCAATCTGAATCACTTTGATTACATGTCAGTAACTGAATTTAGCATAAACACATTGAAAACTTGGTGGAATTCCCCTTTCATATTATGAAAAACATTCAATTAAGTGTGTTCAGACTTTGACTGCTATTCTATAGGACTCCAAACAGAGTCTGGTGGGGTAGTGGGTGAGAGAGAGAGGAGTAGAGAGGCTTAGCTTGTGCTGATCTCTCTGTGTGTACAGAGATATCCTGCTGGCACCTGTCCTAATCCTGACATTAGTCTATGTCCACACTTCACACTCCATCTCCCTCTTTCACTCACACAGTTAAGGAACACTCTGCATATACAGCACACAGGCACCTCACACAGCAGCTCAAGAAGATGCACACATTTGTTTTACTGCGATAAGGGCACCCTTATTGTGGCGTAGAGAAGACTCTGTCACTCACTATATATATATATATATTCTCTGCATACTTTGTTAGCCCCCTTTTACCCTGTTCTTCAGTGGTCAGGACCCCCATGGACCCTTACAGAGCAGGTACTATCTTGGTGGTGGATCATTCTCAGCACTGCAGTAACACTGATGTGGTGGTGTGTTAATGTGTGTTGTGCTGGTCTGAGTGGATCAGACACAGCAGTGCTGCTGGAGTTTTTAAACACTGTGTCCACTCAATGTCCACTCTATTGACACTCCTACCTTGTCAGTCCACCTTGTAGATGTAAAGTCAGAGACGACAGCTCATCTGCTGCTGCACAGTTTGTGTTGGTCATCCTCTAGTCCTTCATCAGTGGTCATAGGACACTGCCCACAGGACGCTGTTGGCTGGATATTTTTGGTTGGTGGACTATTCTCAGTCCAGCAGTGACACTGAGGTGTCTGATCCGCTCAGTCCAGCGCAACACACACTAACACACCACCACCACCACATCAGTGTTACTGCAGTGCTGAGAATGATCCACCACCCAAATAGTACCTGCTCTGTGAGGGTCCATGGGGTCCTGACCACTGAAGAACAGGGTGAAAGGGGGCTAACAAAGTGTTCAGAGAAACAGATGGACTACAGTCTGTAACTGTAGAACTACAAACTGCACCTATATAGTAAGTGGAGCTGATAAAATGGACAGTGAGCGTAGAAACAAGGAGGTGGTCATAATGTTATGCCTTATTGGTGTATATCCACCTGTTCAGCCTACAGCAGTTTAGCCCCACCCATTTACACTGAAGTTATAAGGAGTGTTTCAGCCTGGACTGCATTTTGAGTGCACAGAGCTCATTTGCATATATTGCTCTTAAAGGCACAGTAAAAAAAAAAAACAACTCATTCACAGGATGAGAAGAGGTTGGAAAATGGCCATATAAAAATTAATGACAGTTTTGGTGCCTAAAACCTCAAACAGGTGACTCTACTGTGTGTGGTCAGGAATCCTCCCCCCTCAGTTTGCCTAGGGCTTGATCTTAGCTCTCTGTAAAGTATATTCTCAGTATAATTGACACTACAGCTGCACTGGAAAATGGTACTAAATCAAAACCGCCAAAACAAAACACCTCCAGTGTGCATTATACCCAGCAGGAGTCTTCCTGAAGCGCTGCAATAAACCTCACTCTAAAAGTCGCGCTGCTGTGAGAGACTCCTGAATTGTCGCAGCTGTGTTTCAGCAGTGCAGAGTGCTCTTCTCCCTGTGCTGCCGCAATAATGACAGCAGATAGAGGATCTGATGCTGACATCACGTCATAAATCTGAATGTTTAGGCTCTCTAACACTTTTAAAAACATGTCACAGTGATTAGTCGGGCTGGTCCCCTGTTAAAGAACAAATTGGAGAAGGCTTGACTGCAAAACCAAATAAATATCAGTGTTTAAGAAGACTTATTTTCAGAAATAATCATGCTGTGTTTAGGTTTAAACTGTGGTGTTTATGTTATAAATGTGTTACATGTTCTAGTTTTTCACAGTCCATATACAGTCTGGCCTCTACGCTCCCTGGCCACTTTATTAGAAACACATACCTTGTAGATTTTCTCTTAGAGACTGTAGCCCATCTGCTGCCCAGAAATGGCTTGTTAATAAGGTGATAAACTGGATCAGATGTCTTAGAGCAGGGATGACACTAAAATGTGCAGGACAGGTTTTATCCAGGATCAGGGTTGGGAACCACTGCTCTGACCTTTCATCAGCAGCGAGTTTCTGACCACAAAGCCAAGCCTGGCTGGATATTTTTAGATGGTGGACCACTCTCAACCCAGCAGTGACACTGACAAAAATCCAAGCAACACTGCTGTGCTGGATACACTCATAAGAGCACCCAAATAAAGTCTGGATAACAGGAGTTTCCAAACTGGAGCTCAAAAAACAATTAAAGCTACAGTGAAAATGGGACCCCTGACAACCATGCAACGCCTGGTAGACCACCAAAACTGTCTCCAACAGATAAACAGAACCTAAACATTTCATGTTTGAGAGAGAGGAGAAAATCAACCTCCATTCCTTCTTATATCTGAAAAAAATCTACACTGTGAGAAGACGACTCAGCGCTATGGGTCTGAAAGGATGTGTAGCGGCCAATAAGCCTTTACTGAGAAACTTGCAAATCAAACAAAGAAGCTGCTGGTGTTCTCAGAGCAATGGACTGACCACCCCAGAGTCCAGACCTTATTATTTAATGTGTTTGGGATTTAATAGATCATGAGAAGCAGAAAATTCAACCGACTGAACTTTGGAAGTGTAGAGAAATTTCCCTGCAGTTTTCTTTAAAAATATGTGATATTTTGTGTAAACATGAAATTTTGAGTTAACTGAACTTCTAATATTAAGTTAATTATATTAAGAATAATGTGTGTTTCACATTTATTAACATATTATTTGAAATTCAGAAACTTAACTAGTTACAGGCTTCACAAAAATTCGGCATCAACATAAAAGTTCACTGAATTTCCAAGTTAAGTTTATGAGAACAAAAATCTGAGTCATATTTTCTGTTAACATGTTCAGTTCAATGAACTGAATTTTTTTTGTGTGTAATTTCTGTTAAGTATGTTTTCTGCTTTTTTCTGATGCTGAAAAATGAAAAACATTGACCTTATAGTCGTTTTTACTGTAGGCTAAATAAAAGATGGGTGGTCTCTTTTGTGCAGTACTGTACTGTGGACCTATAAGATGTACATATAGATATATAATATAATACAATAAATTCGCATAAATAAGTAAATGTAAATAATAAAGTGGACTGTGAGTGTACAGTATGTACTTCTAACAGAAGTCTTGTCTTGGGAAATAAGTTTTGCAGTTTGGACAGCAGAAACCACTAACAAGTCACAGACTTGAGGGAGACTCTCCCTCCATCTCTCTCACTCAGCTCCTCAGACACCATGTCCTATTTGAACCACCACTCAATCAAAAGCAGACAGGATGTTGGCTTCGTGGGACGTGACATCACTTTGAAAAGCTGCACTTCATAAGCTACACTGTGTTGTCTCGGGCCATCTCTGACCATCTCTGACCTGTGTGCTCTCAGTCTCTGTCTACATGACATCCACTGACTGATATCATGAAGATAACCTCAACCAGTGTGGACGCTCATAAGGCCAAGTATGAAGGCACACAGTAACCTCTCATGGGCCTTTGTGTGACAAATTCTTTAGGCTCTAATATGACAAAACTCCAAAATATTACCAAATAATAAGAGCTTCATCTATGAAAGAAGGGAGTGTATGAGCCATTCTTTATTTCGGGCGGAGTTATGAATAACAAAGTGCTCTCTATAAATCACGACGGATCTTTGGGTACACCAAGGACAGTATGACAGATTAGGCATGTGTTTGTTTCTCAGTTATGGTTATAAATCAACACAGCCTTGTCAAACAATAAGGGAAAGAGAAATAGACATTAATTCGTCAGCAGCTAAACACACTGTCTGCAGTGTATGAACTGGAAATAAGGCACTGAGATGACTTGAAAGTTTAAAGACAAAAAACTCCAGGCTCTACTTGTCTTGTTGAGTTGTGTTTTCTTAGTTGGTAAATAAGGCTGAGGTGGCTACAACTGAGAGCATGAATGTGCAAAAGTTTTGGCACCCCTGGTCAAACAATGTGTTAATTTTCTAAATAAAACAACAAGTTAACACACCCTTTACACAGAACACACTGCTGCACATTTCAATGGATATTTATTGTTTATTTACTGAATATGTAGGGAAAAATAATACATCAAATGTGGCCTGTGCAAACGTTAGCACATTTTATATTTTATGTTAAACAAATAAATAGAAATTGTGCACTAAAATTTGCAGTAAATTACTATATTTGGGTGTGTTCTCCGTAGAGGACGTGCTCATTTATTTTTCACTTATACAATCAACAAAACATGACCAGGCATACGGCTGTATGAGGGTATGTGTGGTGTGTATGTGTGTGTCTATGCTAAAATACCTTGAAGTCTCTGGATCTGTCTTGTGAAGCTCTCAGCCTGGTGGGCGCTGGCTAAGCGCTCTTCTTCCAAAAGGCCTGCAGACAGAGAAGTATGGGGGTGGGCAGAGAGGGAATGAGTTTCAAAGCTGAGCTCCTGGCAGTGAGAAACTGTCATGACTTTGCTAAGCGATTTCTCGAAAATCTATAAGTTTCTTTTTGAAGTGAGAAAGCAAACCCATTTTTTACTTACAGAGGTTTAGAGTAATACTCAGGTCATGATTAGGATTAAGACTACGGCACACTGACTCACTAATATCCCAGTGTTGGCAGTTGGCTTTATAATATTCCACAACAAGAACCTGATAAACCAAATGAACCAGTGTGAATGGATAAGAACATTCTAGAACAGTTCTTGTCTTATAGAGAATGTGAATGGAAGAGAACATTTTTAAACAGCATTAATGGAGAGAACATTCTAGGACAGTGTGAATGTGGTAGAACATTCAAGGACAGTGTTAATTTGGGAGAACATTCTAGGACAGTGTTAATTTGGGAGAACATTCTAGGACAGTGTGAATGTGGTAGAACATTCAAGGACAGTGTTAATTTGGGAGAACATTCTGGGACAGTGTGAATGTGGGGGAACATTCAAGGACAGTGTGAATGTGGTAGAACATTCAAGGACAGTGTTAATTTGGGAGAACATTCTAGGACAGTGTGAATGTGGGGGAACATTCTAGGACAGTGTGAATGTGGGAGAACATTCAAGGACAGTGTGAATGTGGTAGAACATTCTAGGACAGTGTGAATGTGGTAGAACATTCTAGGACAGTGTGAATGTGGGGGAACATTCTAGGACAGTGTGAATGTGGGAGAACATTCAAGGACAGTGTGAATGTGGTAGAACATTCTAGGACAGTGTGAATGTGGGAGAACATTCTTGGACAGTGTGAATGTGGTAGAACATTCAAGGACAGTGTGAATTTGAGAGAACATTCTAGGACAGTGTGAATGTGGGAGAACATTCTAGGACAGTGTGAATGTGGGAGAACATTCTAGGACAGTGTGAATGTGGTAGAACATTCAAGGACAGTGTGAATTTGAGAGAACATTCTAGGACAGTGTGAATGTGGGAGAACATTCTAGGACAGTGTGAATGTGGGAGAACATTCTAGGACAGTGTGAATGGAGAGAAGATTTTAGAACGGTGTGAATGGGAGAGAACATTCCAAAACACTGTAAACGAGGGAGCGCATTCTATAAGAGTGTGGAGTGGGGGAACACTCTGGAACACCATGAATGGAAGAATACCTAAATAAGTGTAAGTAAAGGGGGCATTTTAGAACAGCATGAATGGGAGAACATTTTAGAACAGTGTAAATGGGGAGAACATTCAAGAGCAGCGCAAATGTGTGAGGACATTATTCTAGGACAGTGTGAATATGGGGAAAACTTCAAGAACAATGTGAATGGGGAGAGCATTCCAGAACAGTATGAATGAGGGAGTGCAAGATATGCATGTAACATACTGTGGCATGGCATAGAAGAAGGAGACTCAGGAAACAGTGCACTTCATATGAGTGCTATTTTATTAACCTCTTAAAATCCCAGGCTTATTACATACTAAAGCTTATTATTCAGTAACTACAGGGACTTCAATGAAAACTGACTGAGCTATTCTTAGGTTATAGAAGTGTGTAATAAACCTTTGGGCCCGTCGGCAGGCCCCTGGCTTTTTAAGGTGTTGAGGGCCCACACAATATCAATTTCTTCATAATATATTTCACATCTTATATGATCTTGCAAATATTGACACATGTCTTTCACAAATGCTCGAGCATTGTGTTTCTTTTACAGTGTTAGTTCCTGTGTATGTGTTGTAGGTGGCCTTACATACATTTATACATACATTTAGTTCCACATATACACACACACATACAGTATGACCCTACATTGTGTGTATGTGTGTGTATGTGCGCGTGTGCACATGATTCAGCAGAGTCAGATGGACAGCTGGCTGGACAGGGCAGTGACAGCTGAGCATGTTGGCTGGGAACTCCCAATAGTGATGTCCCAAAAACACACACACACCTTGCAGCTCGTTGTAGCTGTCCTCATGTCTCTGGGACACCTCCCTGGCCTCCTCCAGTTCCAAGAGCAGCTGGACCACCTGTGCGCGGAGCTCCTCCACCTCTATTGCCTCTTCCTCCTCCAGCCCCCTCGCCCTCTCTCTCTCTTCATCTCCTGCCTTCTCCTCCTCCTCCACTTCCTTCTCCTCCTTCAGGCCCTTCTCTCCATTCCCCTCCTCCACGCCCTTCTCTCCGTTCCCCACCTCCACCTCTTTCTCCTCCTTCTCATCGTTCTCCTCCAGAGACTCCCGCTCTTTGGCCGTCAGCTCGTTGCCTGGACGCTCCGCCTTCAGCTCGCAGAGGTCATCTGAGAGAAAAAGAGAGAAAGAGAGAGAGAGATTAGTTGATTTGAGTGGACGTGCTCAGAGTAACGTTGATTGGTTGTTGTTTTCTTGACTGTCCTTTCTTTAACCCATTCATGTCCAGCTACTAAATTAAGTTTGATAAATTAAATTCCACAGAACTTGTTCTTCTTGTTTTAACGTGATAAAAGTTTTGTATAGTTACACTTTTGATGAACATCTAATAGTACATATTTGTATGTATTTGTATTTGTATTATATGTCAAAATCAGATTAGAGTGTTTTGTTATTTTGTAAAAAAAATCTTATGTGAGCAAAAGACTGAATGATAAATTAAATGATAAAACACTTTTACCTCTTTCTTTGACTTTTTAACGATGATTTGATGGATTTGAAAGTTTTTCCAGATTTGTGTAAGGCAAGCTCAGAAAACATGGACCAAAGGAACTGAAAAAAGTGAATAGCCCATTTATACTGAAGTTCTAGGGAGGGTTTTAGCACATTTAGTGCTTCTTTCACGAAGTAAAAGACAATCAGAACAGCCCATTTATCATAGATCAGTCTTAAAGGCCCAGTAAAGGCCTTAGGTTAAATCAAAGGCCTTAGTTTAAATCTAAGGAATAAAGAGAGGTTGGAGGAAATGGTCATGTACAGAAAACTACACCAATGTTACAAGTGGACATTGAGGAAAAAAATAAAACACAAGTAAAATGTAGGGCATGGGCCCTTTAAAGTCTAATAACATTAGAAGTCCACAGCATTAAGGGAATTTCCTGAGCTTTGCTTGTATTCCCAGTTCTCCTCTCTGACCCCAGCTCAGTCCAGCCCCCCTCCTCTCGCCCCTACACCTGTTCCCTCCAGATAAATCGCACATACACCCAGGAGAGCCTCCCCCACGGCCTCACCTGCCAGCCTCAGCTTCTCCTCTCCCTCCCACTTCTACAGACCACCATAACACAGGGACCCCTGCTCTAAAACACGCAAAACACTCTGGAATTAACTGCCCTTCTCCTTTCACCTGTTGTCTATTAGGGGTCGCCCCCAGAGCACGTTCACATGCTCACACACGTATGCACGAGCACACACGCACACTCAGCATCGGCGCTGCCGACTCTGTGGATGCTGTCGAGAAACAAGGGAGCCCTCTAGTGCCCAGACTGAGTACAGCAACAAGGCCAAGACACGTTCAGGTTGTAAAGCCTCCCAAATGTGTTTAGTGTCCCTTTACATCCTTAAACTTTACCTTAATCAGTCATGTAGATACAGAGATGGGAACAGAGATTCCCTTTGATTCCTCATACGGAAATCTGATCTATGGCAATATATGGATTTCAAATATATGACACATATATGAACTTATATCCTCATATCATACATGGACACGTATATTTAATAATCTATGACAGAAAACAACATCCTCATATGGATGGAATATATTACTCACATGCTAGCTTTATGCTATATAAGTGTTTTTGTATTTTATTTTGATTCTTTGGTTTAAAAAAATCTCTTGGTGTTTTTCTTTTTGTATCAGACAGTATGATCCATATTTACTGCATGTATGTATTTACTCATATTTATGATATATTATGCAAGTTGGTTTACCTGCCTCGCTTGGTGTGGGTACAGTTTTTGAGAAATTAATGACTACCAATGTCCAAATCGCACCAATATAGTCAGTTTGTGCTGGTTTAGGCAGGCGTTATTATCTCTTTAAAATGTGTTTGGTCTCATTATGTTCTTAAACGGTACCTTGTTTGGTTGTTTAGATACAGAGGTGAGAATAAGAAGATTCCCTTTGACTCTAGTGTGTTATTCCATTGTGACAGCATCTTTGAAAGCACTGTTTGTGCAGTAAGACTGCATTTAGCTCTGAGCTAAAGGAGAATTCACACCGTCCCTACAGGAACGTCACTAAGAGTCAGTGCTAAATAGAGTGTAAATCAATGACAGGCTGACCCCCCCTTCCACTTTCTCCCTCTTTCTCTGTCTCGCCCTGCTGGTGCCCCTTATTAGAAACCAGACTGAGGAGCCAGTCAGATATAAATAGTATGACACACCCTCTGTCTCTCTCTCTCTCTCTTCCTCACTACTCTGTCAATCACTCTTGGAAGTCTCATTCAAGGTCCCGAGGCTGGATTAACATGGTCAAACTTACATGCAACTTTAGTTGCTTTAAAAAACGTGACACTAAATTGCAGATGAGTTGCAAAATGTAAAGTTTCCTGCAACTCACTTAAAACTCAGCTGCAACAGTTGCAACTGTCTCAACTTTTTGAATCAAGTTTCATGAGACAGCCAATCAGAATGGCAGTAATGCATCACATGGTCATGTCAGACACATGCTTTCAAACGATTGATTTCGCCAGATCAAAGGACAAGGAAATAAAACACAAGAAGGCAAATTGAGCAGTTAAAAAATATATATAGACAATATATAATGTACTTGTGTGGCCCCCTGGTGGCTCAGGCACCCCTTAGCAATTGCTTATACAGCTTATAGCAAGAAACAGCTCTGGTCTCATTCTCTCCTTCTCTTCTTTCCTTCATCAAACCACTTCTTAACACCTTTACCTGTGCCTGTTACCTAATTTTCACCTGTTTTTCAGTCTCCTTCACCTCCATCCCCCAAAGTGTGACTGCTCATGGCTGTTGCCAGGTGCCTGGAGTCACTGGTGTGAGTGTATGTGTGCACCTTCTCTCACCCGTGTGTTTAACTCCTGAACTCAGCCCCACCTGTCTAGCTCAATCAGCTACACTGCCTCATTCACTGCCACCATTCTCACTCTTTACCTCTCTCTCAGTGAAAAAGTTCACTTTCATTTCAGGCGTAATTTCCGTTTAATTCAGTGCAAAACATGCATTTGTCTGCATGTGTTTGAAAGGTTATGAAACATTTCTGTGAATGAGGACAGCAGTGAAGGCCGTGACAGCACTGAAGCGTTTCGAGGCTCGTACGCGCGTCACCGCACTGACGAGCTGTGTGTGTGTATGTGTGTATATGCACACTGCCCATCAAACGAGTGTGTACACCCTGCCTTTTTCAGCTCATCAGCAACAATGACAGTCAGCACACAGGGAGGAGGCGGGGCGGCCTGCAGACTGGTGCAGGGACAATATATATTGTATGCTTATTGTCTAGTGTTTGTACTGTATATTCTGAGCTCATTTCACACTGGTGTGTATCTGCACTATGCAGGCCTGTGTAATGTTCTGCTGTCGTGTGTTGCATCATGAGGCTGAAGAACAACATTTAGTTCCAATGTCTACAAGCTATGTTGAGGAATGACCATAAAGACCACTCGAGCACTTGAGATTATTACCTACTTTTATAACTTAAGAATAAAGCCTTATTGGAGGTGGCATATTTAGAGTGATTACCAATGAGATCTGTGATTTTAAGCCATTACGAAGCTGCCATGTCTGCAGGGTTGGGCAAAATACTTTGAAAAACTAGTGATGATTTCATTACAATTCATAAAAAAGTAAAATATTTAGAGTACATTTAGAACACATTTCGAATACATATTGATGAGGCATAAAGGCAAACTTTAACTCTGATTTGACCATAAAGTGATTGACTGTGATTTTCAGTTAATTACATCCATGTAATGAAACACATGCATGAGTTCAGTGCAACACCGATACTAAGCTTATCACTCGTGACCATGTTCACTTCTGAGGAGACTGTCCAGTGCATTTATCCCTCATAAGAACTTAGAAACGCTGAGCTTAATAACTGATCATCACACTGATTTATCAGTCTACTCAGGCTTTAGCAGGAACTTCAGTGTCTGTAAAAAAGCCATTTTTGTTTCACATGATGTGATTTTAACCCTTTAAATGGTCACCAGCAGGCCCAAAGGGTTATTACACACTTCCATAACCTAAGAATGGCTCAACCAGTTTGCACTGAAGTGCCTGTAGTTACTTAATAATTCGTCTTAGTATGTAATAAGCCTGGAATTTTAAGGGGTAAAATAGTTAATAAACAAGCATTGATGATGTTTCTTTTAAAGATGATGTGTATTTTTTTTTTATTTAGCCAATAAGTGTCCTAAAGTATCCTGTAAAAAGTAACTATATTCTGAATACTGCCTTTACAAAATGTAACTGAATACAGACACTTAATTTCTGTATTCTGAATATGTATTCCCAATACTTGCATTTCATTACTTCCCAACCCTGCATGTCCAAAGCTTTTACAAGTCTGCTAAGTAACAATTCGGGACTCGATTACTTTCTATAATAGAAGCCCTGTTCGAATCAACATAATATAGTAATGTAGTAACAAGTCCTGCTAATAGACAAGGGAAGACAATGCTAACCGCTAAAATGGAGCTGTTGGCACAGTTTTTTTTATCCTCAAGTTTAAAACAGAATTACTTTAATCTACAACATTTCTGGGATAATTAGAATGAGAATGAGATTAAATATGCGGAGGTTCCTCTGCTTTTCTATCTGGTATCAACTGGAAGTTCATTTTCATTGTTTATTTGTTTATATCCAGTTACTCTAACCTTAACGCTACTGTGAACATCCAGCTACGACATTTTGATCTGGGCTAAGAGAGGAGTTTTTAGAATTACACAGATACTTTATCCTAGTATGAATCAGCCAGTAAAGTCCCTTATAAATTACATTACCAGACCTCCACCAATAAAACTAATCCAGCTCAAGTAGGGCTTAAGTCAGCCCATTTGTATTGCAGTAGTTACTGATTTATAAGGCTTAGGATGGAATAAGCCTTTTTCAAGTGCTAAAAAGCTGAAGGTTTTGAGGTTACCTCAGTTTTGCAGTCTGAGCACTGAAAACATTGAAACAGCTTTCTATTTAACCCCTTAAAATCCCATTTTTATTACATACTAAGCCTTATTATTCAGTAACTACAGGGAGTTGCAAACTAGCTGGTCTATTCTTAGGTTATAGAAGTGTGTAATAAAACCTTGGGCCTGCAGTTTTCCCTGGTCATTTAAGGGGTTAATATGTTAAGCAAACCAACAAC